ATTTCTTCTTCTTCTGCTTCTTCTTCTTCTTCTGCTTCTTCTTCTTCTTCTATGTACCGATTCCCTTCAAGACGTCGGTGACTATGACTATCCACAATTTTCTATTTCGTATGGCTCTTGACAATTTTTCTTCCTTTGCTAATCCCCAGCACCATCCATTCACAAGTTCTTCAGTTAAGTCGCTCGTTGTCTTCCCCTGTCTTCCAATATGCCCTTGTGAAGGTTAAGTTTTCCAAGCCCTCCTTCCTCATTACGTGTCTAAATAATTTGAGCTGTCTTTTCCTGTTTCTGAGTAGAATTGTTCTTTCTGTTTCCATTTTCTTTTAGACGTCTTTTCTTGCTTATACGCTCCATCCATGGAATTCTCAGTATTATTCTGTAGAAGCACATTTAGGCTGCCTTTAGTTTTTTCCCTCGTCCTTCGGGAAATTGTTCAATCACTGTTTAAGATTTTAGTAGTTATTTTTCTGGCCACTTGGGGGGGTTGCTTTGGCAACATGTCACAGTCAGCAACCTTTTCCGCACCTCAAACTAAAGAAGTAAAGAAGATAAAAGCAAACTAGATAGACCTCGATTGGTGTTTAGTGACTTAAAATGAACACTAACGACCAAATGTTATATAAAAATATAACACTTATTGGTTAATTACCCTTAAGCCTTCAAACGACTCACTTACTATAGAGAAATGGCTGATAGGACTTAATGTAAACAGGTTACAGCACCTTCAAGTTCGGAATTAGCCTTTTTTAGTATTAAGAACACGACTTGCTTGTAAGTCATTTTTGCTGGTTTTGTAGTAAATATTCAGCAGTGTACCTAGTCTTAAAACCGAAACATGTTCCCGATACAGAAGGCTAATTCTAAATTCCATTTGAACGTGTTGGAATCTGTTTACAAGAAGTCCCACCAGCCATCTCTCTATAAGCAGAATGGTTGGTAGGATTAAAGGCAATTAAGTTGTAAATGTGATATCTTTTTCTTTTGGCGTTCTTAGCTTAATTTCCTTCTATCTATTTAACTTTATTACTGATGTAAGTATAATTATCGATCTATATTTATTTATTTTATTTTGTTAAACACCAAAGACGGAATGGAACAGCTTAGGCTATCAGTTAACAAGAAATATGGCCCGGTAAGAAAAAGATCACATAAAAGCAAATGCAGAAATTTAAATATCTAGTAAGCGTTGCAACAGACGATGCAAAAGAAACCAGAAGATGCGTTAAAATTGCAAATGATGTCTTTTAAAAAATAAATAAATTATTAAGAAACAGGAACGTTTTATTACAAAGACAAGAGTGTAGTATCAATACTGGTCTCTCTCTCACTCTCACTCTCTCTCTCTCTCTCTCTCTCTCTATATATATATATATATATATATATATATATGTAAAGTAAAAAACCAACACCGTTGGTGGAAGCAACGGACAACTTGCCAAAAGACCTAAATACCCTTAAACAAATAAAATCTCAAAAGGGCAGTAAAAAAAATGACCTAAAGGTAAACATCTACCTAGTCAGTAAAGTGCTCAGCATCTAGATTACCTAGACAGAGCAAAAACAGAAACAAGTTGGAAAACCTTAATAAACATGTTTCCCTATTTATTTAACTTCATCAGAATTTTTTTAAAAATGGAATAATGTGGAATTGTGTCGACTTTTAAGTTGTTGTTTTCTTTTCATTAGTTAGTGGTATCACCTGCACATCACACCAAAAGATGCAATGTCAAGGTTAGTCGTTGATTGCGCGGTCATCCCAAAAGGAAAACATCGAAGGATAATTTCTTAAATCACCCGTAAACATGACCTTGTGTCATATTCTACCCACATTGGAAGGTCGCCCAATACATTTTGAATCTGGCATTTTCTTTTCTTTTCTTTTTTTCCCTTTATTTCTGAAATTTTTATTGTAATGATTTTATATCTTGTAACTCTATAGGAAACAACGCTGTGTTTCTTTTCTAAGTTCAAAATCCCTTTCATCTTCATTCTAATTCTTTCCTTTCTATTCTTTTATTTCTCAAACTCCTTCGTATTCGAGCTTGCCTTTCCATTTCCTCGTGGCAACACTTGACCGAAGAATTTTTTTTCTCCTTTTTAAATATTAATAAAAATAAACAGGAAATCATTTCTTGTTGTTTGTTCTACCAAGAGTCTAATTGGACTTCCGTTTCCTTTTCTTCCGCTTCCTTTTCACTGTCGTTACTTCAAGTTACCGCAACTCCAAACGCGCGAGATATTTCGAGATCACAGAGTAGGAGCATCACACTGCCAAGAAATAATTAGAAGTCTGGTGTTGTGCCTGTGAAGAAAAAAACTTTTAAAATCTATATAAATTAAGATTTAGAAAAATTAATAAATTACACAGATTCAAATTACAGCGGACACATTATTAGAAAAAAAATCTATTAATAAATCAGTTAGATTTTTCCTCCTTAGTGCCCCGATTGCATGAATTTAAGCGTACTACTAAATTAACAATTAGATGCATCCGTACGTTCTATTCCAATAGTTTATTTTCTCACAGCTCTCGCCTGTGGAACTCTCTTCCGTTTTTTTTGCGTCGCTGTCGCCTGAAATCTTCAAAGATTGAAATGCGAAACCAATCGTCGTCATCTGTCTTCCTGAAACCTGTTCTTTTATTGTGCTTTCTTCTCAATAAAGTCTTCTCGTTCTATTTAATTCCCAGTAAACACTTACGTCTTAGTGGCATTATCGCCTTGCTTAGGGTGAAATGATTAAAATAAATAAATAAAAACCTCTGTTTGTTGAAAATGATTCATAATATACGGTATCCCTATCGAATGGATACCAAATTATAATAAATTTTAACTTATAATTTATGAAAGATAAAACAATTACAAAGTATTTAAAACATATATCAAATGAATAATCTGTAAAGTTTCAGCTTTGAAGTACGTATAGTTATTCGAGAAATCTTATTGAAGGTTTCTCGAACATTCAGACCTGTAAACAAAATTAAATAAATATACTGTTTAATAAATAAACGAAGCATCGATTTAAATACCTGTTGTATTGGAATGTTCCACTCTCTCTCTCTCTGGTCTATTATTGACTGACTATATCAGTAAATATATATAGTGTGCACAGGACATACCTGAGATTGGCTTCGGGAAGTGCTTGCCTGCTAACCGATTCCCTGTCTTTCAATAGTGTTTTCTCTTTTACGATAAACCTCTCTTTCATCTACGCCTGTGTTGCTGTTCCTTTCACTCGAGTACCACCTTTGTCTGTTTGCAACATTCCTTAAGGATACAACAATACGAGTATCCACTAAAAATAACGCTTAAAGGCTAGATACATCTCTGAAATTCTAGATAGATCTCTGGAATTCTAGATACATCTCTGAAATTCTGGATACATCTCTGTGGATGAAATATATCATGAAGTTACTAAAGAAATAAATTAGATGAGTTCCAGAATCAATATAAATTTCACTTGAAGTGTGAAGAGTTTTACATCGAAATATCATCATATAAAAATAGATCATTTTTATAGAAGGGGGAGAACATACATAATGAAAGGGGCCCCAAACTTCTATTAGCACAAGGGCGTCTTAAGACCTAAATCTGGCCCTACACACACACACACACACACACACACACACACACACACACACACACACACACACACACACACATATATATATATATATATATATATATATATATACACTTCTGTTGTCTTATCAAGTGATGGTGTTGAACACCATCACTTGATAAGACACTAGAAGTGTTGGAAACAAAATGGCTATTTTTGTAGGGATTTTATAGCATATTTATGTTATAATTTTCGAATAAATTATATTTGCTCTACTCTGTACTGAGCACTCTTTTTAAGAACACTATTTTCTGGTAATGGGAATTTAGTCCGTATACCAATCCTATACTTGCATATATATATATATATATATATATATATATATATATATATATATATATATATATATATATCGCACATGGAGTGCTGGTGTTAATAAAATAGTGCTCGTCGTAATATAACAGAGGTAATGAGTATATATTAATAAATATACATATTAGAGTTTCTGCCCAGTACCTGAAGATTGTGTTATTCATGAAACTCCAAGTCGTGCAACCAGTTATGCATAATATGTATATATAATAATGTGTGTGTGTGTGTTTGTGTGTGTGTGTGTTTGTGTGTGTGTGTGTGTGTGTGTGTGTATACATATTGTATCAGACTTTGGAGACGGCTTCCTGACACCAAAACAAACATAAATGTCCGTGTAAACATATGTGCAAAAGGCCATCGTTGTACCTCAACACATCAACTCATAACACATGTTCAAAATGTCCTCCGCTTGCTTCTGCACACGCCTATAAGTTTGTAAAAGTATTTTTATATATATATATATATATATATATATATATATGTATATAATTAATTTACTTGACTTAAGCTAAGTAAGAAAGGGGAGGTTGCAATACTATGTTGCGCAACGATTTCAAATTGAAGGACTTTTTTGCTTTGTAAACGTATCTAAAACCAATCAGCCAATCTATTTGTCTATCTCAGTCTGTTCATTATCTATCTATCTATCTATCTATCTATCTATCTATCTATCTATATATATATATATATATATATATATATATCTACGTATGTTCATAAAGAGATAAAAAATAAATAAAGGTAAAGATGCGACAGAAAAGAAATAAATGAACAAAGAAAGCAAAAGTAATAAAGAGTTGAAATAAGAACAGAATAAAAGCAAAAACTGAGAAAAATTACGAGAGCAAAACACAAAATATAAAATCTACTTTCCACTCAAGTCTTACTTTACCTGAAAAACCACGCCCCAGTTTGAAAAACAAAAAAAAAATCAAAGTAAACATTTCGTGATTTACGAATGACGCTGCGAGATACAAGACAATAATTTTGTCTGGTGGCAGAAAACAGTATAATCAAAAACGACTGCGCAGTTTTTATCGATCGATAGAGTTTTACCGAAATAGAGGCTAGAAACCAAAAAAAAAAAAAATGGAAAAAGTAAGGATGGATTTCCGTTTGTCTCTTGTCTTTTTATCAAATAAACCTGAACAAATAAAACAAAAAAAAAAGACTATTCCAATGATAGATACCTGTATTTAAAAAAAATAACATATTGCTCATATGTTAAGATAACCTTTCACAATAAAAATACATGTCATAAATAATGAAAAGTAATCTTTTTCGTTATTTAATGTATTTACAAGTGTATAAACCTTACTATGTTGAATCTAAGTTTAATTTCCAGATGCGACCTAAACAAAGGAAACATAAGGTAATCTTCTATGTGCCACGTTCCTTCAAGATATAGACGATCATGATTCTCCACAACTTTCTATCTTGTATCGCTCTTAGCAGCTTTCTCCTTTTGCTAAGGGATGATCCCCAATCACTATTGCCTTAAATATGCCCCTGTGAGGGTTAGGTTTTCCAAGCCCTCTTTCCTCGCTATGTGTGCAAGGAATTCCAGCTGTCTTTTCCTGATTCAGAGTAGAAGTGTTCGTTCTGTTGCCATTTTCTTTAAGACAATCTTTGTTGCTTACACTAGTCGTCCATGGAGCTTCCAGTGAATTCTTCAGGACATGGACGATCATGGCTCTCCACAACTTTTTATCGTGTGTGACTCTTAGCATTTTTCTCCCTTGGCTAAAGTCCCTGCCCCACGTTTTTCCACAAATTCACACAAGCTCGTCAGGTAAATTGCTAGCAGCCTTAGAGGGAATAGAAATGCCTATTTCAAGCTTATCGTCACCAGCCTGGTTACTATGACCAAAACATAAAACCTTTCATTATTGTCTACGTCGTAGAAAATAACCTGTCAGAATATATATTTATTATACTAGCATAATATAATTTATTATACTAGCATAATAACCGAGGAAAATGACAGTATATATATATTGGCATTTCTGCTCAAGATCAGATTATCTTTCTAGGCTTTGCTCAGGATCAAAATGTCGCTCCCCGGTTCTGAGCTTAGGATCAGTGAAGTATTAATCTACACCATGAAAAGTAATACGCACATCAAAATATGTGGATGCAGATATCGTTGTATATGTGGTTTATTCCTCATCTGATATATCTGAGTGTTATTTTATTTTCAATAAAAAGAGACTTGTTTTATTCTATGTGCTGATATTAAAGCTTTTGATTTTGCAAATATTGCGATTTCAAATGTAAATTTTAACCAGAATTTGTTTGTTACATGAGGGTGATTTGCACATGCGTAATCAGTCTGTGTAACAGATCTTGGTATTTAAGAATTAGCATAAGAAACCTGTTGACGAACGATTACAAAAAGGTTTGTCTACGAAACGCTGGTATCGGGTTGCTGAATCTAACATTAATTAGCTAAGTGGCAATTTTTTTTATATTTGTATTAATCCTATTAATGCTCTGTCGAGTACTTTATTGCAAATACCGCTTGCCTTAAACGTCCTTTCTTTCAGACTTTCACTGACTGACAGCATTTATGAGTTTACACTTTTTTTATATCAATATATTATGCCAACAAGAATGACCTCATCAATTTTTATTCCCACAACTGTAACAGGATAAAATCTGAAATTAATTATTTCAGATTTTATTTCTTCTTAGGTAAGTATTGGGCGCTGCAGATTTTAAGTGATCTTAATTAGAATCTGATAATTATGATCACTTAAAATCTGCAGTCCCCAATACTTACCTAAAAAAGAAATAAGCATTGAAAACATTTTTTTAAAATTTCATCTTCATTATTTCATCCACAGCGTTAAGAGAAAGGCATACAAAATATATAACCGCAAAAAATATGACATCATTAGCAACAATAACAATGACAATAAACTAGTTAGAAACAAACTTATAATAGTACCTCCGTAACACCCATTATCCAAAGCAATTTATCCAATCTGAACAATATCCAAATAGTCAAAAGCACATCCAAAACTATTATCGATATAATCAAAACCAAAAACATTAATAATTCTGAAGCAGATATATAAAATAAATCCTCACAACTGCTCTTCAAAATGCATTGGAGAAATTTCGGTCTTATCGAAAATCTGTTCTGAATCGAAAAATAAAATAGCTCAATAAAACCACGACATTATTTAATTAGTGAAGCTTTTAATTACTTTTATGAATAATATATATTAAAGACGATATTGTCTGAAGAAGAAAAAATTTTCGACGAAAAATAAATTTTTACAAGATTTGTTTTCATTTTTTTACAGTTTTAAATTGAATAATTTATAAAGTTTTTAAATCTTTTAAAATTCATTCCCAATGTGATAATTCTTAGAAAATATTGTTATTAAGTAAAACTATATCTACTAATTATATATTGTAAAGCTTATTACAATCTGACGACACCGAATAATTTTAAAAGGATATCGATTTGTTTTTTTATGTGAGAATTTTTGAAGTATGGATGTACAAACCGATAAATCTAGCATTAAAAGGTCACGCATTTTAAGGGTTGTCTCCCTTACGGCGAAAAGAAAGGTTTATCATCTGTTCCACCATACTTAACTATGAACATGTTCGACTTTAGATCGATTGTCAATAAATCGATTAACATGTCAGTAAAACAAGACCCCGAAGTTTGTATACAATATTTTTTTTGCTATAAGAAATATTGATTTCAAATCAGATTAATTTATCTTTAAATTTGCTAATTTTCGTCAAATAACGTTTCAGAAATATATATTTTATTTTTGCAATATTTTTAAAACCGAAAATTAACTTTTGTTTACAAATCTGTTACAAACGGCCGTTTTCATCGATTTTACCGGGAAAAAATCGATTACGATCAATTTAATTTCTGTTTGAAATACACCGCAGAGTATTTTGGTTACTGGAAATAGTAAATTGTAGGTCCTTTAACTTTCAATAAAAGCTAAAATAAAAGCTTCAAGAAGACTTGTTTCATTTTTTAATTAATTTTAAACCTTACGTACACTGAACTAGTGAAGGTATCTTCTTTATAGCTGCCGAGTTTGAATGTCATTACAAAAATTGGTTTCGTTTTATTTTCAGTATAATCATTAAAAACGATTTATGATAAACCTGATTCCACTTCAACTGTTTTTCTTTTATATTTCAAGCAATGAACAGAAACGTTACTATGATCTTTTCACGCGTTTCTACCACAGTTATGTTCTTTTTAATGCTTTCACCCTAAGCAAGGCGATAATGCCACTAAGAAGCAATGTGTTACTGGGAAGGAAAGCAAACAAAAATACTTTAGAAAAAACCGGAGACGCAATCCTAAACAGGAAACAAGGGATAAACCTCTACTCCTGTTCAACAGATGGGAAATGTGTGTGAACCGGGTGATAGTCGAACCAGTTTTTACTTTGCGTTCATAAGCTTCGCATAAATATTATCAATAAAACCAAACTGCTTTGAGATATTTGACAGAAGTATTCAGAAAGCTATCTGACAAATCTTTAAAGTTTTACTTGCCATTTACTAGATATTAAGGAAAAAAATTATGTGGTGTTCAAACACACCACGGTATTAACGAAGGGTGAACACGGAACTGATGGTCTTTTAGGCAACTGTTCGGCCCGTTTCTATCTTCAGTCGTGACAAACCGAAAAAGAACTAAAAACCCGGTTCCTGACATCCGTCTTCCAGACATTGTATTAAAAGGTATAGTGTTACCGAGCACAATATTCTGAAGGAATTGGACTATTTTTGAAACAGCCTACGCACAAATGTGATCCCACACTAAAAATGGCAATGGACTTCAATTTATCTTCATGGCAAGCTGACAAAATACAACATTGTATAGAATGCGAAAAACAACGTCTCACTCAGCTTGTTACTATGATTAGTAACAATTAATAATCAATAAGTTTGACATGGAAAAATACAGAATACAGATAAGCCCCAAAAGCCTTAAAGTGAACAGACAGATATTTACGACTATGTATCTGATTAATTTTACACGTAAACTTAGAGAACTGGAACACTAGCCAATTATATAAATATTAACATGGTCATTTAAAACAATATCTACATCTTAACTAAACTGTTACCAAGTTTTAACAGAGGTTATGGCTTTAAATAGAAGTACTCTACTAAATTTTTGAATGCTTGGCGTGTATGGATTACTTTTAAGAAATAGGCACATCGGTATATCTCAAATAAAAAAATTATTTAACTACATACATTAATATTTAGTATTTAAATGGGTCGATGAAGAGAAATATAATGTTAAAATTCTTTTCGTAATTTTCCTTTCTTTTGCGCGCAAAAAAGAAATCATGAATTCGACTTCTTGAAATCAGATACTTTCAAAATATTTTAGCTGCTTTGAAAGTCATAAAGCGAAGTAGTGTACGAATTAATGTCGAATTGAAAAAGGTCTTTCTTTCAGTTATCAACTAAGTCGTGTTCTTTTGATGTTGGTCAGTTCCATGTTTCTCCTTGCCTTCGAAGTACGAATGACATGACTACTAACTTCTCTACTGGGTCAGTTTCTGTCTGGCTATGTCGTTAACTCGTCTTTTAAAAATATCGATCTCTATAAAAGTGGACTTGATAGATGTATTTCTCTAATTTCTTTTTAAAGCTTTTCATTGGCCGAAAAACAATTTATTTATTTATTTATTGGTTTTGATTCATATGTCGAGGATTTCTCTGACGGGCTTTTATTTTTCTTTTTAATTTCCAGTGTTTTACATTTCATCAGGGAGAAAAGTTCTTTTGGACATTTTTGAGGGTCGCCAGCACCACTAAACTAATAAGGTAATTTATTAAAACTATTTGTAAGACTAACGTTAGATTTTATCCGTATTTTAGTTAAAGTAGATATCGATGTGATTGCTTTTAGGGAGAATTGGTTTCATGTCTTTTACCGGGGCATCGTTAAGAAATAAAGCCTCAATAGTGGGTAATATGAAATCAAGTGACTATTACGTATTCTCTTATTATTTATTAATTCTCGAGGCGCCTGCCGTCCGACTGATCAAACTCAGTGTGTTCATTTTCTTTAGAGATTAATTTCAGAGAAAAGAAAACAAGAAATCATCTTTGATTGGTTTAGTTTTTTTATTTTTTGTGTAAAGTGAAAGTATGTGTAACGAAAAAATAAACCTTTACTCTCGAAGTCAATAGATTTCAATAAGCAATTTTTTTTCAATTTGCCGTTCCCAGAATAGTTTCGATTTGAAATAATGGTTTTATTTCTTTTCTTTTTTTCTGAGTAATTTTTTTCTCTATATTGGCTACTAAGCCTAAAAAAAATATTACCCAGACTTGTCTATGAAAAGATACGTAAAAAAAGTTTATTAAATTCTTATTATTGTATGCATAATTATTTATATATCGTATAATTTATCATATATATATATATATATATATATATATATATATATATATATATATATATATATATGCTTGAATACTACTTAATTAGACTGGTCCACTCATAAAAATAGAAAAACTATTTTAGGAAATATTTTTTATAGATTAGGATTTTGTGTACCTTCTTTAGGTCGCAGCACTTGTCAGAGTCGAAAAATATTGATTTGTTATCGATTCGGAAGGGGGTCCTGTTTATGATTTCGATACAGTATCAAATCCTTTCCTGATTTTTATACAATTCTTTTGTGTACGAAAATAGATTTTTTTGTAAGTAGAGGTTACAGAAAGTTTCCTCTTAAATAACGAAAAAACGGATATATGCATTTTTAATGACAATAATAAAATAATTAAATTCATCATTTATTAAACATAATTGAAATCTCCAAACGAATAACCAACAAAAATACAATAAAAAAACAAAAACCAGCAAACTAACGTTGTCTATGGATTTAAATGCTCGATTAGAACATTGTCATACCGTTTGATGATTGATTGACGGATTTGTTTGTTTAGCGGCATATCAACTCCTTCATGGGTCATTTAATGCCGAAATTTAATTTTTTGGGGGGGGGAGCTTGGAAACAGGAATACAGAAAACGGTTGGTTTTAAAACAGTAAGAAAGAATGAGAAAGAAAGAAAGAAAGAAAGAAAGAAAGAAAGAAAGAAAGAAAGAAAGAAAGAACGATGAATAAAAGTCAACTAAAGAATAGGAGAAAAGACAGAAAGAAGATTAATAAAAGAAAGAAAGAAAGAAAGAAAGAAAGAAAGAAAGAAAGAAAGAAAGAAAGAAAGAAGAATTAATAAAAGTCAACTAAAGAATAGGAGAAAAGAAAGAAAGAAAAAAAGAAAGAAAGAAAAAGAAAGAAAGAAAAAGAAAGAAAGAAAAGAAGAAAGATGAATAAAAGTCAACTAAAGAATAAGAGAAAAGAAAGAAGATTAATAAAAGTGAACCAAAGGAAGAAAGAAAGATGAATAAAAGTCAGCTAAAGAATAGGACAAAAAAAGAAAGAAAATTAATAAAAGAAAGAAAGAAAGAAAGAAAGAAAGAAAGAAAAAATAAAGAAAGAAAGACGAATAAAAGCCAACCAAAGAATATGAGAAAAGAAAGAAAGAAGATTAATAAAAGTGAACCAAAGAAAGAAATAAAGAAAAAAAGAAAGAAAGAAAAAAAGAAAGAAAGAAAATAATGATATCAAAAGATGTAGAAAAACGGAAAACAATGACTTTATGTCCCAAGTCTTTGTTCTTTATTACAACCAACAAAAGAAAGAAAGAATAAGTAAGTAACAACGAAAGAAGGCTACGCATTTGTATCTCAAGTGTCTGCCCTTTGCCTTTAAGACAAAAAGAAAATAACGCTCCTATTCAATCACAGAAAATCAACCAAGCGTTCAAAGTGTTCATTTTGCCTGTTTGCTATTCCACGATTATTTTTATCTTTATTTTCACTACACATGCAAACATGCACGTCTTTACAAAGGAAAAAGGAAACATTTCACATAAGCTCAATCTATCCGTCCGCCTAACTCCTGCCTCTACCTGATAAATTATTTCAGCTAGTCTTATTATATCTTTCTATAGAGGCATATGCGGGAATCTATATATTATTTTCTTTTTTTTTTTCCTTTTTTTTTTGTAGGCTGGTTACCTTATGTTTTCATATCAATCAATCATACATGATAGCTTTTCCTATGTTTTTACATGATTGCTTGCATACCTATTAATGTCATTTCGAACATATCTCACGTAGTCATTTCATTGTGGCCTGTATGTGGATATACACGGATGTATTTACTTAAGATTAACAGATAGATAGATAGATAGATAGATAGATAGATAGATAGATAGATCAGAACAGACTGAGATAAATAGATAGATAGATAGATAGATAGATCAGGACAGACTGGGATAGATAGATAGATAGATAGATAGATAGATAGATAGATAGATAGATAGATAGATAGATAGATCAGAACAGACTGGGATAGATAGATAGATAGATAGATAGATAGATAGATAGATAGATAGATAGATAGATAGATAGATAGATAGATAGATAGATAGATCAGGACAGACTGGCATAGATAGATAGATCAGAACAGATTGGGATAGATAGATAGATCAGAACAGATTGGTATAGATAGATAGATAGATAGATTTTTTAATTTTATAAATGGTAGTAGAAATAAACCGACTTCTGTGGCTACCGGTTGTCATTGGAGGCAGAATAGTTTGTGGCTTTTACTGCATTACAACCAAAGAATTTACAATTTTACGTGATGGTAATTTTTTTTAACTAGTGTTCACCCAATACAAGGCTCAAGAGCCACTTAAAGTAGAGGGTTACTGAATGTAGCCCTGGAACATCAAAACAGCAGAAATTGGTTTAGAAACATCATGCCTAAGTGGGAGTTCAATACCGAGACAAATTTGCTCGATTGTGAGGGACTAAAGGACCCACAAGAAGAAGCGGAGTCACAAAGGCTCCTCGAAGATGAATTATCCTCAATCGCAATCTATCGGGGTGATGAAAAAATCGGATGATGTGTGATTTTGAGTTCTAAGATTATTTGAGGTCACCAAAGTGTTATGTGTAACGTGCGTTTTCGCGTTACTAAGCGTAACGAAGAAGACACAACGGAAATTTAAAGCAATAAACAATTTGTACTAACGTAAAATACAATAAATGAAAAATCAAGATAGATGTCTCTCGTATGGAAAAAAAAGAAGAAGAGATAAGTGGACATGTAAAGACATCCGGTGAGGCGTACGGAAAGAGAGGTAGGATAATTTATGGCTTACTGGGGTGACGGTGTTGAGAGCTGGTCGAGTCTGATGTCTTTGAAGATTGGAGGTCGCTTTTTGACAAGCGTGTGAACTCTGGTCAAGATGCCGTCCAACTGTCTCGATCAGATAGGCCCTGTATATAAAATATCTCGCTCCCACTTTCAACCTCACTTTATTCAATAGTGATAATGGAGTGCTGAGTTTTATTTAACAAAACAGAAAGACGCTCACTTGAATTTTAGCCGCGCTCAACACGAAAAGCTCGGAATAAACGCTCAACACTAGTATTCAAAGCAACACAACACTACATCTTAAACAGTTAATTATGATGAGAATTTAATAACAGCTAAAAACAAACCCACTTGAAGACGACTAAATAAGTGGTCGAAAGCGCTTGGGACAATAGAAAATAAGCACCATTTTTGCATTCATTCACTCCGACCAAAGGGGAAAAGGTAAGAATGGTTGAAAAAAAAAAACAAATAAAAAATTAATTAAAAGTTATCCTTGTCTTTTATATACAATGAAACATGTTTTAAAACAAAACTTGTTAAATATATATATATATATATATATATATATATATATATATATATATATATATATATATATCCTCATTCCGCTTCTGTCTCATGCAGTTCCGATCTATCTATTGTCACGAAACTTCTCCGACTGGTGTTTACCCCGGCGAGGGTGACAAGTATTAAGTCAAAAAACTCTTATATTTATACCCACCGCCCGGACAACGCCGAGTAAATTGCTGATATCGGGTTGGACAATTTTATGGGATGTCGCTGCACCACAAGCAAACAGGGGAAGATGCAACACGGAACCTTCGAGCGACCAAAACGAAGATACCACAAAACAAGCGATTAAAAGTATAAGCTCCTTTTATTATTAACCCCTAAAAAACAACTTAATCCTTATTAATAAAAAGGTAATTAATATATGATGATATATTAAAGACTATTAATTTTTCAAAATTTTAAAAGAAGAGTATAAACATTTAATAATATTATTAAAAACAATTATAATAAAGGTAAATTTGAACTTTAAAATTTAAAAATTAAAACTAAAATTTATAAATTGTAAATAAAAATATATATATAATATTAATTAAATATTAAATATTTAATATTAATTTAATATCAATAATCAGATTAATTACTACTACTACTCATATTATTATTATTAATCATATTATTGGTCTTTCGATTGGTTTGTTTTTTTTTTTTCTCTACTTCCAAAAACACCCTGTCTTGGCCGCATGTAGGAAGATCAGTACAATCAAGCATACCTGATCTATAACATCGAATAGCCCAAGTGAAGTCTTGATTAGTTGCTGTTTTCTGTGGGAAAGCACGTCCTAAAGCTTGTAGAAAATTTTATTCTGGGTGCGGGCCGAATACTGATCATATTCGGTTGGGTCACCCATCGAAGAAGTCTGTTGTTTATTTAGATCCGAAACTTCTAGTAACATGGGAGCAACAATAATGACGACGCACCTAGATTCGGCACTTAAAGGTGTATTTTAATATATATATATATATATATATATATATATATATATATATATATATATATATATATATATATATATATATATATATATATTTAAATAAAAAGAAAGAACAGTAAGATATATAATCCGGTGTTCTTATAGATATTTTTATTTTACAAAATAGTGCTCAAATAAAAAAAAAAAAATATATATATAGTATAATAAAAATTATAAATGAGAATATTTCAAATCGTAGTTAAATAAAAACTAAAAAGTATTCTAATCTGAAAACCCCCGAAAATCTTTAAATTTACAAATAGAAAAAAAAATGCCGTAAGAATTTTTTTGCCGTTAACAATAAATTTAAAAAAAAAAAAATCCAGACAACATGCATTCAACGGATGTCAGTTTTCATTGTAAAATACATCCCTACCCCTTACCAAAATGTAGCTAATGACTGATACAATGATACAGACATAAGGAAAACGCAGATAACCCTTATCCAATAGAAGTAGATTTATCTGTAACCATGGAAACGTGATTTTAGCTGTGTCTTTAAAACCCAGTAATTTTAAATGTTACTCCAAAATTCGCTTGAGGATGAAATGGAACTAATGTCTTTAATTTAATTGCAAAATTAAATTCGTGGCTTTTAGCTTCCATTTTTGAAACATGGTTAGAACTGTGTAGCGGAAAAAACATATTTTAAATCAATTAATTTATAATATATACATATATATATATATATATATATATATATATATATATATATATATATGCCAGTTCCTATCTATTTATGTTTTTATCTATCTTTTCTCATTCTGTTTCTATCTGCATCAGTTCCTATCTATCTATCTATCTATCTATCTATCTATCTCATTCTGAGTCTCCAATGATGGAACATTCTTCCTGGCACATTAAAGTAGAAGAATATTACATTTTGGCATAAGTGTAAACACGAACGATCATTCTAACAACGGTCACGTCGAGAAAGCAAAGAAGAAAAATGGTCGAGAGAAGAGAATTACACTGATCGCTAACTCGGTAGCTGCAATTGTTGGCCGGAGGTTTTCTCACTGTCATATGCAGCCATGCTCTTTGGTGACATCAAAAGAAATCAACGCTTGACATTAGTGAACTCTGTTCGTGCAATTGAGAGAAATGTTTCAAACTTAATCGCTTTGAAGATAACTGAATGCAACTTGTAAATCTAAAATGACAATGATAACAAGAAACTATAGAAAAGTCTTATACGAGAGAATTGCGAAGATGCACGTAACCAGCAACTCGTCTCATGCTGATATGAACAGGCAAATGAGATAGATAGATAGATAGATAGATAGATAGATAGATAGATAGATAGATCAGAATGAGAGAGGCGCATAATGAGGATAGATAGATAGATCAGAATGAGAGAGGCGCATAATGAGGATAGATAGATAGATAGATAGATAGATAGATAGATAGATAGATAGATAGATCAGAATGAGAGATAGATAGCATAATGAGGATAGATAGATAGATAGATAGATAGATAGATAGATAGATAGATAGATAGATCAGAATGAGAGAGGCGCAGAATGAGGATAGATAGATAGATAGATAGATAGATAGATAGATAGATAGATAGATCAGAATGAGAGAGGCGCATAATGAGGATAGATAGATAGATAGATAGATAGATAGATAGATAGATAGATAGATAGATAGATAGATAGATAGATCAGAATGATGAGAGGCGATAGATAATGAGGATAGATAGATAGATAGATAGATAGATAGATAGATAGATAGATAGATAGATAGATAGATAGATCAGAATGAGAGGCATAATGAGGATAGATAGATAGATAGATAGATATAATGAGGAGATAGATAGATCAGAATCAGAATGAGAGGCGCATAATGAGGATAGATAGATAGATAGATAGATAGATAGATAGATAGATAGATAGATGAGATCAGAATGAGAGAGGAGATAGAATAGATAGATAGATAGATCAGAATGAGAGAGGCGCAGAATGTAGATAGATAGATAGATAGATAGATAGAATGAGATAGATAGATAGATAGATAGATAGGATCAGAATGAGAGAGGCGCATAATGAGGATAGATAGATAGATAGATAGATAGATAGATAGATAGATAGATAGATCAGAATGAGAGAGGGCAGAATGAGGGATAGATAGATAGATAGATAGATAGATAGATCAGAATGAGAGGCGCATAATGAGGGGATAGATAGATAGATAGATAGATAGATAGATAGATAGATAGATAGATCAGAATGAGAGAGGCGCAGAATGAGGGATAGATAGATAGATAGATAGATAGATAGATAGATCAGAATGAGAGGCGCATAATGAGGATAGATAGATAGATCAGAATGAGAGAGGCGCATAATGAGGATAGATAGATAGATAGATAGATAGATAGATAGATAGATAGATAGATAGATCAGAATGAGAGGCACAGAATGAGGATGAGATAGATAGATAGATATAGATAGATAGATCAGAATGAGAGAGGCGCAGAATGAGGATAGATAGATAGATAGATAGATAGATATAGATAGATAGATAGATCAGAATCAGAATGAGAGGCGCAGAATGAGGATAGATAGAGATAGATAGATAGATAGATCAGAATGAGAGAGGCGCATAATGAGGATAGATAGATAGATCAGAATGAGAGAGGGCATAATGAGGATAGATAGATAGATAGATAGATAGATAGATAGATAGATCAGAATGAGAGGCACAGAATGAGGATAGATAGATAGATAGATAGATAGATAGATCAGAATGAGAGAGGGCAGAATGAGGATAGATAGATAGATAGATAGATAGATAGATAGATAGATCAGAATGAGAGAGGCGCATAATGAGGATAGATAGATAGATAGATAGATAGATAGATAGATAGATAGATCAGAATGAGAGAGGCGCATAATGAGGATAGATAGATAGATAGATAGATAGATAGATAGATAGATAGATCAGAATGAGAGAGGCGCAGAATGAGGATAGATAGATAGATAGATAGATAGATAGATAGATCAGAATGAGAGAGGCGCATAATGAGGATAGATAGATAGATCAGAATGAGAGAGGCGCATAATGAGGATAGATAGATAGATAGATAGATAGATAGATAGATAGATAGATAGATAGATAGATCAGAATGAGAGGCACAGAATGAGGATAGATAGATAGATAGATAGATAGATCAGAATGAGAGAGGCGCATAATGAGGATAGATAGATAGAACAGAATGAGAGAGGCGCATAATGAGGATAGATAGATAGATAGATAGATAGATAGATAGATAGATAGATCAGAATGAGAGAGGCGCATAATGAGGATAGATAGATAGATAGAGAGAGAGAGAGAGAGATCAGAATGAGAGAGGCGCAGAATAAGGATAGATAGATAGATAGATAGATAGATAGATAGATGAGAATGAGAGAGGCGCATAATGAGAATAGATAGATAGATAGATAGATAGATAGATAGATGAGAATGAGAGAGGCGCATAATGAGGATAGATAGATAGATAGATAGATAGATGAGAATGAGAGAGGCGCATAATGAGGATAGATAGATAGATAGATAGATAGATAGATAGATAGATAGATAGATGAGAATGAGAGAGGCGCATAATGAGGATAGATAGATAGATAGATAGATAGATTTCTAAATTGTCTTATGGTTTACTTGTTTATAAGTAGAAACAAACTGGATATACAGGATGAAATAGATAGACATATAAATAGATAATGTTCAAATTGAAAGAGATAGATAGATAGATAGATAGATAGATAGATAGATAGATAGATAGATAGATTCATTCATTCACAGCAGGTCTATATGAATCACAATATTCAAAAACGGGTCTGTAATATAATCGATTCTGACCAGACATCTTGACATCAGTCACTACATCAGATAGACTATGTATTTCTTTTTTCGACTTCCACCTGGATGCCAACCAATATTTCAAAATGTAAATGCAACATCAACAGTCTATGTTTTTTTTTTTAATCCTGTTCTTTTATTTTGTCTAGTGGATCATGTGTGAAACGATATTCTTTACACCCAATCTTTAATTTCCTTTTACAGGAGATGGCCGAAACGTAAAATGCAAACAACCTGTTTATTTCTGTATATAACAGTACAAAATTTTCAGTATGTTACTAGCCGCTACTATGCTATTTTACTTTTCAGTCGCCATTGAGATTGAGGAATTTGCGCCATGCAACTGTGTACATGCACTTAAATCCCATCCTTAAAGTCACTGGAACCACAAGCCACACTTTACCTCTGCAAGAACAATAGTGTGGAAATGACAAAACGTTCGAGGGACCCCATCAGACTTTAGCGGATGCCAACCATATCACAACAGTCACTCTTTTGTCTAGTGGATTGTTGATAGACAGATTGGCATCCTTGCGCAAAACTTCCTGATTAATTTCGACTACAGCTTTCTTTAGACTGTGGTAGAGTGATGATGGATACTTTCAGATCATGGAATCAACCTTTGTCATTGGGTAACATGAGACACCCGGGTTTCATCATCTGCTTCCATGTGCTCCAGAAAGTCCACGTTCAGCTCCCGTATAACGTTCCAAAAACTGAAAAGAAATAAAAATTGTAAGTTCTTCGGTCAGTTGCTTTGGGAACGAACGATATGGTAGTTTCCGATATCACAACTTCTCGTGGACGATTTTGTGCCCTAATTCCACGTTGGCTATTACCAACAGTTTACTTACTTACTTACTTACTTACTTACTTACTTTCTTTCTTTCTTTCTTTCTTTCTTTCTTTCTTTACTTCTGTCCTTCCCCATTCTTTCTTTCTTTTATTATTTACAGCTATATTTCTATGTTTTTCTTTGTTTCTTTCTTTTTTGATTACCTGCTGTTATATTTCTACATTTTTCTTTCTTTCTTTTTTATTATCTATTATTATACTTCTTTCTTTTTTCTTTCTTTCTTTCTTTAGTTATTTCTGCATCAATTTCTTCCTTCCTTTCTTTCTTTCTTTCTTTCTTTCTTTACCTGTTATTATATCTTTGAATCATTCTTCCTTTTTTCTTTCTTTCTTTCTTTACGTGTTATTATATTTATGTTTCTTTCTATTACTTTTACCATTTTTTTATCGACTGCTATATTTCCTCTTATTTCTTTTTTCTTTTATTCTTTATTGCTTTCTTTCTTTTTATCTATCGATATATCTATCGTTATATCTATCCTATTTTCCATTATTTTATCGGTAGTTATATTTCAGCTTCTTTCTTACTTTCTAACTTGTCTTTCTCTGCTTTTTTTGTTGCTGTTTGTTTAGTTTTCTTTTTTATTGTGTGTGGGAGAGTATTTATTTTTTGCGAACAAAAGCCTGAAGATCGCCGCGAAGGTTGCCGATTTTAAAGCTGTGTGTCCACTCTACTTTATGAGGCAGAAACTTTATCTCTTTAAAAACGACACAAAAATATTCCGTGTCTGTCTTGGAAGTAAAGTGTGTCCTACACGGAGATCCTAAATATGTCTAGCACTGTGTATATGGAAGTAACAAACACCTTCGCTGGATCGGACACATTATTCTTATATCTGTCCACCACCTGCTCGACGATGCCCTTTGCGTACAGCTAAGGGAGTCTTAACGAACAGTCTTAAAGGCGCTTTAAGAACTACGCCAACGACTTCTGTCTTGACCCTTTCGCTTTCGATAGAACAAGCTGGAAAGATCCCTGGGCCATGGTGTTGAGTCAAATACACACTGTATAACGGAGAACTTAAAGGCGTGCCTTAGGTTACAGCTGTTAATTGGAATTATGCCGACCTCTGAACTTTCTTGCCTTACCTTTGAGCAAGTGTGTGGCCTTCACGATCACGTGAAGTGGCACCAACACCAATGGCGTTGAATCCACGTATACTGTACTCTGCATCCACCATTCTGGGCTAAGTGTCATCCCCGGACTGCTGAACGTTATTTAATGTGTGTGCGTGTGTGAAAATTTTGCTTATCTTATTTCGTCCCAAACTCCGGTTATACTCTTACAACGCACCAATCAACGCTCTGTGAAAATCTGGCTGATATTTGATTGGTTGAGAATTAGGTGACTAGAAAAATGATTAGTCGGCGTTAAAATCAAAGGGAATAATTTGGTGATAAATGTTTCTGGACATTATTATTGGAAAGCTTTTATGTAGATAGTAAATGACGTTGGAGAAGAAAACTAGCCAAAAAGAAGAAGAAAAAGAAAAAGAAGAAGAGAAAGAAGAAAAAGAAGAAGAAAAATAAAAAGAAATAAAAGAAGGAGTAAGAGAAGGATGAGGAGCAATAAAGACTGGTTGAACATACATCAGTATTTTTCTATTTTTT